TATTTATATCATTATTACTATATAAATTTGTGTTTGCATTTAGTTAATTGAACATTATGAAGTGATCTTATACTATATCTCAAATGCAGCTTTCGGTCCAGTGCAATAATTCGATTCAGTAAAATAAATTATACGCTTCTTTACATATATCGCGTTTTAATATGTGTATTAAAGTATATATCATTTTATGACGTGCATATATGTAATCTTTATATAAATATAAATATAAAAAATAAAATATAAATAAAATTGCAAAAGTTTCAAAAAAATCGGAGGGTTCACCTATTCGGAACTCCACCCAACATTTTTTATTATTATTGCTACTAATAATCTACTTATAATTAATTATTGCGTAAATGCAAAGCTAAATATATTTTCAATTGAGTACAAAATTATGCTATATAGAAATCGTTATATTTTCATTCTTTTTTTTTATCTCAAACATTATTTTATATAAATCTTTCTCAAGAGAACTTGTTTGCTTGAAAATGATTCTTTCTGTCGGGACGGGATTTTAAATAAAACAAGCAAATTGTTTGGCGAGGTTCGGCGGGTTTTGTTCATTGGCATCAAAAGCTTTCATCTCGTAGATTTCTATATAAAAAAAAATTTGCAATTTTGTGAAAAAAATCATAAACATAGCAATATTAATGTTTGCAATTTAAGAAGCGTTTTGGTAGCGTTAACGTTATTAGGTCCAATGCGACACATGATAATATTGCAGTACTATTGACGTTGGAGTATTAACCGAGCACGAAGCATGACTGGTGAGAATTAAATTTCTTTTGTGAAATCTTAATATGTATCAGAAAGTACGGTATATTTTAGAATGAAACCTTAGCAGCAGTTATCGGATCATATCTGCATAACAATATCTGTATGTACCGCAATTTTAGTTACGTTTTCAGGAATTTAACGTCATATTCACAATTGAAAAAAACAATATATTTTGTATTGTAATTTACTGTACAAAACTCACAATTAAATTTATGAAACAAGTTTTTGTTATGTATGTACAGTATTTAAAACTTAAAATGAGATATATATATATATATATATATATATATAATATACGATTAAAAATTACAGATATAAAGTTCTCTTTCAAATTAAATGCTCAATCAAATTAAGAATTAAACGATAAATAACACTTTCTATTCGTAGTATTTACATAACTATTATTATACATATATTAATGTTTCTGTAATGACCATATATTTTCTAGGACATAATCATAAATATAAAAACCTGGTCCGTCGTGCCACACGCGAGGGGAGATTTTTGCGTTTCATTTGCTTGGCCTTGACAATTCTATCGCAGTCATTTGTAGATATTTATTATCGGCAGTAAAACTTTGAGTAATCTTAAGTTATGTTTAATACCAATAAGCCTTAAGCTTGCGATATAATGATAACAATTTCAATTTTTTTATATACTATGATAGAAAATTCCATTTTTTCCATTTGTAAATTTGAGTTTAATTCTATAAATTAATTAGAAAATTTATAAAATTACAAATGTTTACATTTCTTTATTAAAATGTAAATTTTAATGCCTAAAGAATTAAAAGAAAAAAATTATAATCTTTAAATCAAATTTTTGTCATAAGAAACATTCCTTTCAAACGTTTCATATAAAAATGCATTGCATGAGTATATCCAAAAAGAAGTACGATGTTTTTCCTAATCTTTATCGGCATTTAAATATGTTTCAATCGTAGCTCGTGTTTCTAGGATGTTCGAGAGATGACTGGGTATTGAGGAGGAGAGGGCGCAGTGACTTTGAAGGTTGCTGCCACCTCGGTTTGATGGAATGGAGATGAACGGCACCGAAAGCAGCCTGAACGGCACTGAGGTCAATCGTACTTCTGCGCCAATCTTCACTATTGGCACGGATTTTATCACACAATGGTAAGCGCAGGTATCTTTTATTCAAAATGGATAGAGATTAGCATTTGGATAGAATGGAACGCGAGAGCGCGAATGAATGTGAGTTGTAACTTTTCGCAACGCTGCATTGGTAGTCTCTTGGGTTTTTGCAAATTTTAGCATATAGACTGCGGTTGTATCATATAGTTTTTGTTACCATTTCTACGCACGTAAAACTGTCACTGCAATCGGTGTGAATACAATATACGTGCATCGATTATTTTGCGTTGTACGTATTGCGTATGTTACTATAACTCTGATATAGTTTATTATGCTTTTGATATATTATTACAACTTTGAATTGCTTTCGAATTAAAAGTTTTTATGGAATCTAATTTTTAGATAATCACATTTGTTAATCTCTCGGGAGATTTGTAAACTGCAAATAAAAGTTGCGTTGTAGAATTCCCACGCACAAAACGTATCTAAGAAAAGAAAGAGATAACGGTTTAAAATTAATTTTATCTATATTTTTTATTAAAAAATGTTATATTTAAATTAGTTTCTTAAGGGTACCGATTTTTTATATTTTATCGCATCTTACTTTTTCATGGTTACAACGTTTTACTTTTAAATTCTTCTTGCTGACGTATACTTGCACTATGTAACGCTATTCGTTCCATCAATTCCCAACATCCTTGAAAGATTTATGCGCTGTAGAAAATTTGGAACAGACATCGATGGCGTAAAGTTATGCTAATAGGATGACAGTAATTGATATTATTAATTAGCTTATTCTGAATATGTTGTATACTATAATTTACAAAAGTTTTATTCTCTTCACGCAATTGATTAGTTGCACACGATTAATTTCTTAATCAAAATTTTATACATATATTTTTTTAATCAAATGCATTATTTATTAAACTACGTTTTTGTTTCGTGTGTGTAAATTATATTTAAAAAGATTTATGAAAATTAATCTTTGCATTGTGCTAAGTTTAATGTTGACATTTTATTTGCTTGTGGCATGTGCAAACGCTTTGCAAGTGAATTTTACTTATGAAACACAAATGTAATTGTACTGTTATATTAATGCTGCAGTTTGCAACGATTAAATTATAAGCCATATAAATCTTGTTATATTCATTTATTTTACCGTGGATGTAGCTCTTCTATTCAACGCCTGTAACATACATATCATACAATTCATCATTTTAATCAAAACACGCAAGATAACGATAGCGTTTACGTGCATGGTCGTCTGATTAGTTCTGCGAAAATATACTTGCCACCTGCGGTACGATACGGGAGTAAGGTTTGTCGCTGAAAACGCGTTTAGATAAACGATTCGTCATTTGGTGAAATAGCCCTCTTGAATTCCAAGCAACCTCGCCAAGTTATCGTTACCTCTGAGGACTGCTCATTATCGAGGGGTAATAACATCACGCGGCGCGTCTTATACAATCAACGTTCCCCGTTTGTGTTCCCTACTTTGCCGGGAATATCAAGGCTAAAGGAAATGAACTTTCATCGGGGACAGAATTGGAGTAAAAAGAATTCTCTCGGGAAACTGTCCTTTTTTCAAGACAAGACTTTGCTTCAACCTTTTTTTCACCTTAATCCAGCCGAATGGCAAAATGTACGATTGCTGCAAATTCTCTTTGGGAATTGTTATAGTCATTTTTTCACATGATTTATACGGTAATTCAGATTTATTTAGCGCTTACATCACGAGAAAACATCACGTAATTCTGCAATCAAATCTCTCTATTCGATGAATCTGTGTCTTTCACGAAAGGTTATAAAAGAACTATAATAGACTTGTTGCTGAATATATTTCATTGAAAATTATTCAACCTGGAATATTATGTCTACTGTTACATGACTGTTGATTTTCTTGTATTTTTGAATAGTTTAGCATAATGACATTTCACGACAAACAACATTGTATATAATAGCCATTTGCATATATCATCGATATTTCACACGCAAAATGGAATTATGATCAAATGATCGAATGATCGAATTTTCATTATGTAAGTATATATTGCTTGTACAATATTTTGAAATAATTTACATATATACATAATAACGGAGATTTATATGAATGCCGACGTATATAAAATTCTTGTGAATCAATCCGGGTCAAATCGCATCCTTGACCTAGCAGGGCCACGGTAATCTGGCAATGCGACGCGGGGTAAAACATGCGGTTTAGTTGGTTGATGGGCTAGCTCGGCTCCAAATACGTTAAGCACAGGCATACGAACGAGAATACTAGTCGTTATTTAACAACAAAAGAAAAAACCGATGTCGTGTAACGACGCGGAATCACGCGAGCGACGTCGAACGAGCTGTCGGAGCACACGCGATTGAGGTGAAAATTTCGAATATTGCGTGAGTCAACAACGTCGCGACAACGAAAGTCGTCCACTGGAACACATCAATGTATGTCACAATGTACGTGAAATTTTCACATTTGTTAAAAGGCTGTATTATATGCTTAAAAAGGAGAAACGTGATGGGTAAAATGAAGTTAATGTGTGCACAACACACAACGATAATGTGCGTAGATTTTGTCAAAAATTGATCAAATTTTATTTTAACGATTAAATAATATTTATAATTTTGCAATAAATATATTCATATTTCGTGTATGCGTATGATGCCTTGTATATAAGAAAGTATATATCGGTATGAGTTACATTTTTATGCAATATTCAGTGATTTGATCGTAATAACGGATTAAAGTTAAAGTTGCGTTTATACCTGTACATACAATATATATATATATATAATATATATATATATATATATATAAAACGAGTATATGGTATGAAGTTGTGTGACATGATGGGTTATATTTCCCGGATATATTGATTTTCATCGTAATCAGTTAAAGCATAGACTGATATTTTGCATCTTTTATAACACAAAATCTAATGCAACCAAGAACAATTCTCTCATATTAATATTCTCTAGCCCGCGACTATTTGAATTTGTGAGTTCACTCGAGAGCCTAATTTCTTAAATTTGGTAATATTCTCTCATATTATATGTACAGTTATTAATATCTTTTTACAATAATATTCAGCGCTACTTTGACTGAATGTCGATACACACAATAACACAATATACATATTTTATTTTAAAATAATAAAATTGTCTAAAATAATCCATGCTTTCTTTATGATCATTTTTTGTTTTATAGCTTTTGAAAGTTTATTGAACGAATAATAGAAGATTACTAAATTAAAAAAATAATAATAAATTTCATAAAAAAATAAAGAGAAAACATATAACTTCATTCAACATAAATATTATCATATTTAAAGGCAAACGATATAATTAAAATACAATATTTTGCTGACATGATCAATGCTACGATAAAAATACGTTAAATAATATATATATTTGAGTTAATAATAATATCAGTATTTGAGAGCAAATAATCAGAAAGTCTGCAAACAACCTGTGGGAAAAATTTGGCAAAAATACAAAGAAAGAAAAGTTGCTTTTAAAAAACATAGTAGATAAAATGCAGTCACTGCATTCGATATTCGCATCTTTAGCGCGACGATGTTACATGTTAAAATGGGAGCAGAGCCATTAAATGGATCGACTTGTACATCCAATACGAAGCGGTACTATTGTTTCGGTTAACTACGTAAATGACACTCTGTAAAAGCACGAATGGTAGCGTTACCGTCTAGCTAGATGATGCATGCGATTAGCACAGCGCTATTATAATGCGGCGATCAATTGTTATATTATTTTCTGTTTGCTAAGGAATTCTCGCTATGCTCTGGTTGGGTCGTTTATCATCTATTCTTATTTTAATTCTATATTTAATTCTATATAATCTGAAATCTATGGAAATTCGGTATTATAAAATACAATATATTCGCAGTATCTCTAAAAAAAATTCTCCAATCTTCTTTATTTTACAAAAATTGTTTTTTTTATTCTCTTTCTTTTTCCCTCTTTCTGTTATATAAAATCTTCTCGGTGCATTAAAACTTTATTAAAAAGAAGTTTTCTTTTTGCTGTTACTTGTTGGCACTTGTGGATTAAGATGTACGAGTTTAAGTTTAACTCTGCAATTGTATAATAATAAGATAAAAATGTTTAATTTGTCTGACTTAACAATATAAATCGCAAAATTGCGTGCATTGCTTTAATTGTTTTATATGATCGTTCTCTTGCATATTTCCACTTCCCGAGTAGTTACGCCAACGTGCAACAAAATTATCTCTGTCGTTCTCCGGTTTTGTGTACCAGAAGCGACGCACGATTGCAGCGTACATGCAGAGAAAAAATAAAATAGACCGAGCAACGGGAACGACGCTGGGGTACATTGTGATGACACACGGTGAATATTGATTCTCGAATTTTCATTGCTCTGTTGAAGAGAATCGAGAGAAAAATGCATTCTCGACAAGCTGCAGCGGCGCATTTGACTTTTATATCGCGCATATTCTTGTTTTTCCTAGCGATTGGATGTACAACACATCCAAAATCATGGGATATATTTAATTTATCTATAAACTCGCTTACGGTTATGTAGGCGATGCCTCCTGAAAATGTACAAGAGATAGCAATTTTTGCGGATAATGCTCAACGTTCCAGCCGATTGTGGAATGACGTTACTCGTTCTCAATTTTTTTAAACGATGTATAAATATTTTTCACTCAAGAGAGTCGAGAGAAAATTGTTTATTTTTTTCGCAAATACACTGAAAGCTCGCCGCGATTTATAAACACTCTGTACCATATCATGTACTACGATATTAGATATGTACAATATATGGTACACATCCACGGAATGTAATGGGAAATCGATAGCATGTCCAACCTGTGTGAAAAACTGTGTATATGTGTGTTTGTATATATAAAGGTAACCTTTTATAATATTTTTAGAGATAGGAATATATACACACTTGCCAATATATTTAGTCGAGTCTATTGAGCAAACAATCGTTGAAGGACAGAGATTGTATCTTAATATGAAGAAAACGATTAATCATGCATATAACTTTTATGCACAATTTTCACTAAGATGACTTGCAAATTTTTATATCTATGACGCATTAGGAATATATATAAATGGAACGAGTATCTTTATAGATTCCATATTAAAATATGATAAAGTATACAAAAAAATATCATCAGACTTGACGTAAGTATTAATAGATTTATTATTTTAGCTATTATATTTAATGTTATACAATAATAGTATTTAATAGTTTCACGTTATAAAAGATATTGACGCTCTTTTCAAGTCTTATATAACAGACCAATAAACTTGCCACAAACTGTTAATATTTTTTATAATTGACTCAATTAAATTCTTTTTACTGATATGAATAATCTTAATTATTTTAGATACTCGATTAGCATTAAAACAAAAAAAAATTTCTTCTGAAAAGGCATCTCAATCATCGCTAACATATAACAAATCAAATAAGTTTGCCGGACAAAGAATATGTTATATTGTACTCACTTCTCATTAACTTAATTAGTATCCTCATTCTTTTCTCGCATTTATCGCTCGAATATGGCATCACATTTCTTACAAAATTAAATCTAGGCGTGGTTTGTTTACTACGCCTACGATTAATTAACATGGAATAACTTATAATTTCATACATTGTGTAGATATCTACAATATAACAAATATTATATAAAAATATATGCGTGTATTCAAAATTAAGTATACTTATTTTTTTAATACATTGTTTTTAAACCTAATAAGAGACGAAGATCGTCAGCAGATGATGGCAAAAGAACAATCGTATTTAATTACAATAACTATATGAAACAATAAAAGTATACGTTTTAAATTTCGGTATTTCCGATTAAATTCGAAGCGTGCCAATTAAAGGAACGTCTCTTTTATCGATATAAAATTTAAATATAACTTGAGCTATATGTACTATAATATGAATACGATAAATATTTTGCGATCATTTTGCGCACAAAGCCAAATCTGTCTTCCATCGATCTTATCAATCACATTGAAGAGCTGAAAATGTCGAATGCACGTTCAGCGGCCTGATGTCACTTGATTTTTTCATGTACTTCAGGCTGACCATTTCTCCCCACATCATGTTCCGAAAATGTACATCGCGTCAATGATGATGTATTAACTCGTCTATAAGTTATCACATTTCTGCAGATCTCATCTGCAGATCTTCGAGATAGAAACATATTTCTCTCTTGTACAACAAATCGCGTTGAAAACTCAGATAATTCATTATCTAAAGATTTTATCTAAAAGGGAAAATTTTCTATTGGTTACCAGAAAATTTTAAAATAATAGATACATAATGAAAAATCGAAGATTAATGATATAAGATAATCTCAAAATAGCCATTATATTTTTTAGCATGCTAATATTAATGTTTCTTAAACGATAATTTTTGATGTCATCCTTATATTTTCAAATTTCCTTATATTTTCAATATTTACATATTCCTTTTTTTAATTTTGTACTAAAAATTAATTTAATATAAAATGCGATGTGTGTGTGTGTGTGTGTGTATAAAATTGTCGTCAATGCTATCGAGTATATTTTTTATGTGTATAATTTTTACTTGTTAAAGTTTTGGCTATGTGTATTTCTATCTATGTGTAATACAGAATAAACTATCTAATGAGATAGTTTATCACATGAAATATTTTTTTCATAACTTCATAGAAGTTTTTTTGCTTCTAAGTATCTTATATAATAATGTATAATTTTTTTTTATATTTATTATTTTAATAGAATTTTACATAAAATTTTTAAATAAAAAGAAATATTTGGCAGGTGTAGTAAATTAAGGTATAGAATAATTTGTATACTGGTGTCAAAGGTGATTTAAAAATTCTAATAACACGTACTAACGATGACATACAGTCGAATGCACCTGCAATTTCCAACTGAAAGGATGAGACTAGGTTGGGTGACGTGTAATTGGTGGAAATTGATACACGTTCCCTTGTTCGTCGCGTTGGACTCCCGCATGTGTAGTTTCGCGACACGGAATACTTCATCTTGGAAATGTCATCGTAATATCGCTTGCGAGAAAAATTATTATATTGGTCAATTGTGCTTTGTATTGCAATGAAACATAGAAGATGGGTTTAAAAGATTAGTTTTTTACACTCACGAGCAGTTTTGTAATTTTTTATAAGAGAGAGAAACAGAAAAAGAAAAAGAGAAATATCTATAGAATATAATATTCTCAAAGTGTCAAACAATAAAAGCTGGTTATGCAGTCAACATAGATAACTCATAAGTTTCCATTAAATGTAAATAAAATGCAGTATTTCATTTGATTTGTAATTAAAATAACCATGCAACAATTACATTATATGTTACTGCATGCGTAATATACAACACACATTCATTTTTATCAAAAAAATGTTTTTACAGTCGTCACACATTTATGATTCTTATGTAAGAAGATAATTGTGACACACACAGAAAATATTTTTCATATATTTTAACATGTCTCTTTACAAGACTGGTTTCTTATTTTGATCTACTCCCGCATATATGTGTTAGCTCTTATGTCGTTATGTCACAATCAAACTGTACAGAAGTGCGATTAATATGTCCGTGCAGCGATCATATCGAGATTCATGAGATGTAGGTCCAGATATATCTTTTCAATCTATATACACCATTTTCGAAAATTGGTCCAAGGTCATGCTTGCTTAAATCTACGGCCTTTCTGATATCTTTTACTGATCCAACGCTCGTTTTCTACAGTTTTAGACCGCCGTCACATTTTACAAGCCCCGGTAATTCATAATACTAGCCTATTAAAGTTCTTATCAGAATCCTATTATGTAGATAATGGCGTCCTTTGTTTATCTAGCCGGTGTAAGGCGATATTTATCGAGAAAGCAGCCGATTATGAATTACTAGCATTTCCGAAGATAAACTGCCTGTTTGAAAATCAGCAGTATATTTTATCTTTTCGTATAATTATTATTAATGATAAAATGGGAATCTCCCCTGCAAGTAAAAATCAAAATGAATATTGTATTATAAATAGTATACACGATATAAATAGTATTACGATTGTTGGAAAATTTTGTTTACTCACAATCTCTCTGTGGCTTTGTACTGATGATAAAGTTGCATAAGTATGACGACATTGCCATGTCGTCATCGATATAACCGCCGTAGAGATTGCGATTTGCTTTCGAGCACCGTTGGGTCGGGTTATCCGGTGGTTCCAGTGTCACGCCGAGGGCGATCGCGTACGTCAGCGAGAGTTATTAAATAGGTTCGTTCAATTCCCCTTGGGCAATCGAGATTCCCTCTTCTCAGTCTGCTACATCATCGCAGCAACGCTATCATCCCTCGATGCGCCGTAACATATTCCGCTGATATTTATGGAGTTGCGTTTGCCCTCCGCCCTAAAGTGTAAATCCGATTTGATCATTACCCCGTGTTAAGTTCCCGCAAGCCGTTGACAATAATCACGTAGCAACACGAGATATAAAGCGTTTTTCATTTTGCATTACATGCTTTGAGATGCTAGAATCGTCTCACACATGACACATTACAAGCAAACGTTCTGGCGAAAAAATGAAATGTATGAACGGCTTTTTGCTAAGAATAATTTCATTTTTTATTTAAATAAGAAAATATTTAGAAGAAAAGTTCATTCTATATAAAATCTTGATGTAAACACTTATAATTAGATTTTGATTTTTTACTATCTCATAATGTATTGTATCAAGTTATTGCAAACTTTTGTAGACGTTTTGCCTTTACAAAGTTAGAACATATCTGGCGACTCGTAAAGATCTGTTCCTCTTTACCGCTGCAAAATGTAATTTTGGGAAAAACTGTGTCTGAGTTTCTGTACTTCAATCTGCGAACTTACGTGCTGTATCGTCTTTTATTATCAGATAATGAGAAAATAGCAAACAAGGACAAAACAGAAATATAAAATTTATCTGTTCGAGAAAGAGTAGCATAGTATAATATTATTTTTTTTTGCAGAGAATTATATCACATATAAAATATTTTCTAAAAATTATTAGTACCAAAAAAGTATATACATATATGCGCGAATAGATAATTAATTTAATAACATAAATATATCTAATTAATTTGATAAACCGACAATATTATGACAATCTAAATATTAATGTCATGTTATTTTTATTTTATAAAATTATTCTCAAAATATTTTATATTTTATTTATTAAGTTTAAATTATTCTAAAATTTAAATTTATTATTAGAAGAATTTTTTTTGTAAAGATTTTTTAATATAAAAAAGAGCATTGTTTTTTCGAGAAAAAAAGATAAAAATGTGTTACAACAAAGCAGCATCTTTCTCGGATGCATTTTATGATTTTTTTATATCAAACGTAAGATAACTCTTGATTCACGTCAACATGTGTTTGCTTTCTTCGAAAATCGATTTTGAGCTGCTTCGGCTTTGAACAGGATATACTGGAGAATTTGAAGGAAACCATGTCACTTGAAGATGCACCGTTGAGAAGGAACGATGCTAGCTGCTCCAATATCAGCCTGCAGCTATGGGTTACGTATTTCGTGTCTGGCAAGAAAAGTGGGAGCCTTTTGAAATATTCCATCTAGTAACTGGGCTAGAAAATAAAAGTAAAATCTCCCCGATGGGAATTGCGAATGTACTGCAAAGAAAGGATACAAGCGTGACATTACAAATCGGGGTGCTCGGGTCGATCCTGAGAATAAAATGTCAGTAATCAATCAGAAATCGTGAATCATGTTAGTAAGAGCAACACAACGTAATCTTGTTAACTAAAACAAATAATAACAATTAGTAAAATTATTGCTTACACGCAAAAAACTATACATAATATTTTTATGCATTATACAAAGATATATGTATACATATATGAGACTTTTCTATCGTGCAGAGGAATTTTTTAACCAATTTAAAGTTAATCTTATAATTAAAGTTAATAAAAATCTTTCTTATTAAAATCGCTATATTACTTTTAATAATTTTGTAAGTTATAAATTGTCTGTATGTATGTGTAATATTTTTTGTTGCAATAAAGTTTCATTTAAAATTAACTGAGTAATATATAATTTGTTATATCCGTTCGTATATATTTTTTTCTAAAATCTCAAATTGCGTAGCGCAGAGAACTCGTCATCAATTGTACATTTTTGTATTTACTTTGATTTGACGAGCAACGAGTCTAGTTCAGTTTCATCGTTCATTAAACCGAGTTTCTTGCTCGCTGGTATTTACAACGCGCTGGAACGATGCCGACCGGATACTTGTTGCCATCCTTCGCCGTCATTCCATATTTCTGCTTCGCCATATTCTTCCTCGCAATTTTTCCCCGCTTACAACGCGGTCCAACTTTTTATTCACTCCTCTGTTTCAGCCGCCCTCTCAGCAGCCTTTCTCTCTTCAGCGGCCCTTCCATCCGTCCGTATGATCATGCCATTCCACGGCGATGATCCTCTGCTCACCAGGGCTTATGTAGCTTCCACCCCTTTTGCCACCCTCTCTCCGGTACATATACACCGACGAAATGCACTCGCGCACACCTTAAAAGGAACGTACACACAACACGTTCTGCCACTAAGCGTTATTGCGCCACAGTGTTAACGAATGTCCACGCGATTCGATACACCGATTCCCTGTCCATTCGACTGGCAAGATATTGGCGTGTAGCTGGCCTACGGG